AAAAAGTAAAGCTTGACTCTGCTGCATGCTGGCAGCTATTTATATAATATTTGCATTATATTGGTGATTATAAGTAAATCTAGATAGGATTTAAAAAATATGGGAGGATATGCATAGGTTATACACAAATACGGTGCCATTTTATACATGGGACTTGAACATTGTGGATTTTGGTATTGAGAGGGGTGGTTCTGGAACCAATATTCCACAGATTCTGAGGACAACTATATCTACTCATTGACTAATTTACTGTTCGTTCTTGACCTGTATTAACTGCCTACTGAACATCTCTAAGATATATTTCTGGATCATCTGTTGCGATATGAACCTATCTCCCCAACCTCTATAATTTACTCTTCTTCCACCATTTCTTTAATTCTAGATAGCAGCATCACTATTATCCAGGTAGCTGTTCTAAAAAATAAAAAGGTCATCTTTACCACCCCTTACGGTCTCCACCTAACCTGCCTCCTCCCCCATTTGGAAGCTCTCACCCACACGCCAGTAAAGACTGGTAATAGAGTCAGACAGATTTGATTTAAATTCCAGCTCAACCATTTCTACCTCGAATGATCCTGGGCACAAGATTGTCCTTAAACTTTATTTTCTTCTGTCGTCGTGTTAGTTGCTCAGTCGTGTCCGACTCTTTGCAATCCCACGGATTGTAGCCTGCCAGGCTCCTCTCTTCATGGGATTCTGCAGGCAAGAATACTGGAGTGGGAAGCCATTCCCTTTTCCAGATTTTCTTCTGTAAAATGGTAATAATACTAGTACTAACAAATGGGTTATTATGAGATTTAAATGAATTAATGCATGTAAAGAATTTAGTACCTAATCTAGCATAATATAATTTCCTTCAAAGTTTTGAAAATCATTAATTTTGTCATTTGCTGCTGCTTCTGACTTGATGTTGTCTACAAAGTTTCTGGCTACATTTCTTAACTTCTGCATTTACTGTGGGAAAATTTCTTAAATTTTCATGAATGCTTTATTATAAACATGCTAGTAATCCTCTATTTTGAGAAGGGCATGGCAACCCACTCCAGTATTCTTGCATGGAGAATCCCATGGACAGAGGAGCCTGGTGGGCTCATTGTATCTCAAGAGTCAGACACAACTTCCAACAACTGAGCATGCATGCAGTCCTCTATTTTATTGAAGTATAGTTGATTTAAAAATAACAATGTTGTGTTAATTTCTGCGGTACAGCAAAGAGATTCCATTTTATATATATATATATATTCTTTTTCATATTCTTTTCCATTATGGTTTATCACAGGATCTTGAGTATAGGTCCCTGTGCTAAACAGTAGGACCTTGTTTATCCATCCTATATATTACAGTAGTAATACTAACTTTGATTTATAAATCAAGTAATTTTAATTCTATTTGCTCTCTTACATTTTGAATCAATAAACACACTTTAGACAACATACACCTCCAGGTCAGCTTTCTGTCATTTGTAGTTTTATTAAAAATTCTCAATAATTCTAATGGGTAAATAAAAGGAAATCACTGATGAAATTTTAAACACAGCCTCAGCTTTAAAAAAAAGATAAGATTCTAAGCCAAATATCCTTACCACCATGTTATCAGTAACATTCACACTCAAATGGCTCACTTTTTGTTATAAACTTTTTTAGAATGGAAACCTACTAGCACTGGGTTTTGAACATGGAGGAAAACCAAGAGCTAGCGTGGCTGTTGGCCCCTGGGCTTTAGTGGCCTCCCCCACCCCACCTGTCAAACCAACATTCACATTCTCTTCTTACTAATCCCTTCTTAACGCTAAATTCAACTCCCCCTTATCCAGGGCAAAGATTCAGAGTGAGAGGGAAAATGAGGACATTACTAACCCCAGCTGGTAAACTGCAGCATTATTCTACTGCTTCTATGAGCAGTGCCATCACTGTCAGCACCTCTTTCTCTTCCTGGTTCTTGTTCCCTGTCTTCTCCAGTCACCACCATCGAACGTGAACACTGACATTAATGAACACATCAGTGAAACTGGAGAAATATTCCACCAGGACGGCAGCAGGCAAATGGGAGCATGGCTGGAGTGGTTACTTTGCCAAAAATTGCTCAGTGAGCTACCAAAAATTAGATACTAATTTTCACCCATGAAGAGAGTCAGTGGCAGAGTTGAGTTAGGACTGATTAGTTGAAATTTAATAGCAGACATCGGGTGGTGGAATCTTTCTTTGAATGAAGGGTCTTTCCAAGGAAGACATCTATTAGGGATAGCAAGAGGAAGAGATTAAGGGATAAATGGTTATATCTTTTGTCATCCTCAAATCTCCACATTCTCCCGGGAAGTATCCATACCACCACCCTTTGTCCATCTACCATAGATGGACTTCACATCTATTATATAAGCCAGAAACTTACTCTGTGCTGTATATTTCAGAAAGTCCATCATCTGCCTGAGAGCTAATTAGGAAAAGTACGTGGCATAGTGGTAAAGAATCTGCCTGCCAATGCCAGACATGCAAGAGACACGGGTTCGATCCCTGGGTGGAGAAGATCCCCTGGAGAAGGAAATGGCAACCCACTCCAGTATTCTTGCCTGGGAGATCCCATGGACAGAAGAGCCTGACGGGCTACAGTCCATGGGGTCGCAAAGAGTCAGACACAACTGAGTGCACACATGCAAACACACACACAGCATTAAATGGTTCTACCGTGCTTGCAAACAAAAGTTTAAACCTCAAATATTCATGTATGTAGATCTAACACACATGAGTGGGTAAAAAATCAAAAAGGGAAAGAAACAAAGGTTGTTCTACAAAGACAGCCAGTTCAAAAATGGGGGGAAAAAAGTATGTTGACCTGAGCAATCACAGTTTCTCATATCAAACAAAACCCCAAAATAGATGGAAATGTCTACAGTAGCTCCTGATCCTGGTGTGCCTGTAACAGAAAAATGGAATTATGGTTCAGCTGCAAAATCCTGGGCCCTCGTTTTCCCAGTGGCCTAAATCAATCCCCAGTCCAGGGACAAGATGCTGAGCAAGGTGCGTAATTATTTCAGGCCACTAGGGTAAGCACTATTCCTGGCAACTCTGTAGGCAGCGCCATGGATGAGGGTTTCTAATCCTCTTTGGTGATTTGGTTCTGTGCAAACTGAGATTTTTCTTTCACTATTTCAGCCAGATAAGCAGGAAAGGCCAGCTCCAGTCCTGAGCTAGAGCCAATCAAGGTCAGTTTCAGTTCCTTTTCTGTGCGGTTTAGATTCCTTTTTCCTTGCTGCCTTCCCTGACACCTGTCCTTATATTTTTATCTGATTATCAGAACCTAGTGAGAGAACCCTTGGCAGCCTCTGGTGCTTACTCTGTCGTGCAAAAGCCTCTAAGTCTAAGGGACATAAATACTGTGCAGAGTCCTTGAAAGGCCAACTTAAGACCCTGGCTATGCACCACAGAGAGGCGTCTCCCATGGGGATTTTAAGGGTGAGGTTGAAACTCGTGCCTGCTTTTACCCAGAGGCAATACTGACGTTTTAACTCACCTATTAACAAATCTCTCATGTTTGGCTGGACACTGCCCCCACAATAAATTCAGTTATTACTTAACAGAAAGAAAGTGAAAGGTAAATCTTGACATTCCCATTTGGATGATGATGAAGTAGAGGTTTAAAAGAGTTGTGTACACTGAATTCAACCCAGCAGTGTTGTAGCTGGAAAGCAGACCAGCTGACACCTGTCCCCGGTTTTGTAGGTCACAGACTTCGTAAGTTTAGAGCAGTGTTTTACTTACCATGTTCCTCCTTGAAAGCTTCTATTTACCTTCTTAAATTGTGGGTGCCAGTGGAGAGGTACGAGGTGTCCATTCCAGACACTCAGACAACATACACAGACTGAGCCGTCTGCCTGTTGAGTACACAGCTCCGGGCTGAAGAATTCCTAGGGTTGTTAGAAGAACACAGGAGACTTCAGAGGGAGCAGGCTCTGAGGTGGATGCGAATACCTAAATCCCTACAAAGACAGATTAGAAACATCCTCTTTATTATTACAAACCAAAAAACCAAACCCATGTATTCTGTGCTTTTTCAAACTGCACTGCCCTCCCCCCGTATCTTCATTAAAGAAATGCAAACACATGTGCTTCAAGACGGGTAGGTGTAAAAGAACATTCTGCACAGTTACATCTAGGCTGTCGCAGACTTCTTTCACATGCAACCATCTCTCCGGGGGATGTTAATTCACGGTGACAGCTGAGCATGACAAACGCCACGGTACACAAGTTGGAATGCCGGAAAACAGGCAACTACGAAAAGCCCCTGCAGACAAACGCGCCGCAGAGTTTTCTCCCTCCACACACACGTGGCCGCACTTCTAGGCGCTCCAGCACGGTGATAAACCCCAAACACACACACAAACACACACACCCCGGAGCCTCCGCCGCCCTCCACGCCCGCGCCTCGGTCTCCAGGCAGGCGGGCACTCGCGCGCGCCCCTGGGCACACTCGCCGCCCACCCGCATCCCGCTACGCGGCACCGGAGCGCCGGGCGGTCCCCCCGTGCCCCCGCCCGCCCTCCGGGGAAGCGGCGGCTCCCGGGCTGGGGGCAGGGCCGGGGGCGGGGGGGAGCTGGCAAGGGAGGGGAGCGCCGCGGGGCCGGGCCTCGGCGCCCGGGGAGGGGACGAGGGGCGGGCGCGGGGCGGCGCCCGGCTCACGTGGGCGGGCAGGAGCAGCTGAAGGTCCGCTCCGGAGCCCGGGCTGTCCTCTCGCGCGCGGCGCTGGCCCCGGGCGGCGGCGGCGGCGGCGGCGGCGAAGGAGGAGGAGGAGGAGGAGGAGTTGGAAGAGAAAGGCGGCGGTGGCGGCTGCGAAAGAAGAGGGGAGGACGGGGGCGGCGTCGGACTGGAGCCGAGCGGCGGCACGAGCTGCCCGGGGCGCTGTCGTGAGCTCGCCCGCCGGGCCCCCACCCCCGAGCTACACCCTGCCGTGCCCAGCTCTGCCCGCGTCCGTGCCCCCGCGGGGAGCGCGCCGGGGCTGCCCCCCGAATGACGGGCGGAAGGTTCGACTTCGACGATGGCGGCACCTACTGCGGCGGCTGGGAGGAGGGCAAGGCGCACGGGCATGGCATCTGCACGGGGCCCAAGGGCCAGGGCGAGTACTCGGGCTCCTGGTCGCACGGCTTCGAGGTGGTCGGAGGCTACACCTGGCCCAGCGGCAACACCTACCAGGGCTACTGGGCGCAGGGCAAGCGGCACGGGCTGGGGGTGGAGACGAAGGGCAAGTGGATGTACCGGGGGGAGTGGTCACATGGCTTCAAGGGGCGCTACGGGGTCCGGCAGAGCCTGTGCACCCCCGCCCGCTACGAGGGGACCTGGAGTAACGGGCTGCAGGACGGGTACGGCGTGGAGACCTACGGGGACGGAGGTGAGCGGCGTCCCTGGCGGCTCGGCTGCCCCGCGAGCTGGGCGCTGGGGGAGGGCTTTGCCCCTGATTGCGGGGCCGCGGGGAGGACGCGAGGCGCACGTGTCCGGAAACCCGCCAAAACACCTGGGGGAGCCTCCCACCCTCCTCCCGCGGCCACTCTCCCCGGGAGGGGGCGTTAGGACGCGGCGGGTGCGCGGGGGGTTGGATCTGACCCGGTTCTGGGGGCGGGCGGTGTGTCCAGACCGGGGGGAACAAGGCGTGAAGACACCTGGCCGGCGCCAGCGCCGCGCTGCCACCGGGAGGGAGCGCGCCCGGGAGGGCTGGACCGGGAAGAGGACGCTGTCACTTGAGCCCGTCACATTACGTTCCTGATCCCTCCCTCTCCCGGCCGGGTTTGAAATCGCCACTCCCGTGGAGTGAGCGAGCGCCCTGGGCTTGGAGGCTGGCGGTCACGGTGCACCGCTGCGGGATTGGTTTCACGTGGAGTCGTATTTCGCCTCTGGTCCTCTAGTGGCCTAAAGATAGAAGCCAGAACCCCAGAACTGGGATGTTGGGGAACTGTTCCTTATCGGAGGTGCATTTGGAAAGTAATCGTAGTTATGGGAGTGGAGAGGCCACCTGATGCAGGGGGGTTCAAAGAATGCGGGGTTTTCTTTCTTGTTTTCTTCGCTTTCTTAAAGTATCGGTTTTCTATCAAAAGAAGGTAGTCATTGTTGATCTGGAGATATCTGGAAAAATTACCAGGAAAACATTTTAGGAACGAACAGTGAAGTCTGTGTTTTAAAAAATACAATTGAAAGGTGTATTCCTATAATAGCTAAATTAACAGCTACTTCACACCTGAGAATAGCAGTAGGCAATCGCTGGTTTGCCCTAACGTGTGTGATGGAAAACAGTATGCTGGCTGTCAGCAATATTCACCTAATTTTAATATTTACCAATACTTGCAAAAGAAATTTTGTATATAATAGGGCAGAGTCCCCCCTCAACACTTTTTTCCCCAACCAGGAAAAGTATATATTATTGATACAGGTGTCAAAACCTGATGAATTTGCTTGTGTAATAAACCGAGAAGGACGAATGGCTTATGCTTTGGCAAAACACATTTTCTGATAATAATCATAATTAATCGAAAAGGGTTGTAGAAGGCAATGTCACATTTCGGAATTCTGCAGCTCAGAGTTGGAGGATATTAAAGGGGTCCAATTAAAAGTTTGTCCAGCCCAGTGCAACCCCAGTCAGGCAACTGCTTACATAAAAGCTTATACAATTTGTACACTTCACTTACTCAGAACACTTGGGCCATGTTTCACATGCAAACCGGCAGCATGGTAGGATTGGCTAAAAAGGACATCTTTTCATCCTACAGTATAAATAAAGGATATAGTTCTCATGGATTAAAAGTGGGGCGGGGAGGGGAATGTCTCTAATAACTGTATATGGGCTGCATGAGTTTCAAGTTCCACAGTAGTTAATTAGGGCCCTTAAATGTTCTCAATGGGCATAGAACACCTTAGCTGACACCCATATAAATGTGTTAGCTTGTGACTGGATTTTATCAGAGGCCCCAGGTCTACAATATAACTAAATTCCATGCTCAAAAGTGGAATGCAAATCTTATCTTTCAAACGTGTGCATTATTTTACAACCTTTCAAGAAGGTGGTGGATAGTTCTTCAGTATTTGGAAGGCTAAAAATAAATGAGTCTTCTTTTAAAGTTACTACTCATTAAACAGAATCTCTTGGTTTAAAGTATTCATTATACCTAGCAATCAAAAAATAAATATAGCACAGTAAAGGTCCTCTGTTTATGTGTTGCAGAAGCTCAAATAAGTGTCTAGGGTGACTATGGATAATTGGCCTCCTGTTTTAAAACTAACTTTTAAAAGAATTTTTTAAAAACCTCAAAATTTGGCACCACCACAGGACAGCGGTTTTCTTTTTCTACCAAGAAACAAAAACAAACAAACAAATATGCGACCAATTAGGAAAGGAGCAGGGGGAACTCCTAAAACTCATTATTGAACTCTTACTGTTACTTTCTTTCATATGTCAATCAGTTAATTAGAAAGCCCTGAATCATAAAATGGGGGTCTAAGTGGAAGTGTATTGCTATAACTTATTTCCTGCAACGATTTTGGCCACAATAAGACAGATCGCTTCCACAAGCTTTACTTCTTGCCTCTGTACCACCACAAGTCCATCCCTAGCAGCCTCCGTCAGACTTAAGGAAAATCTGATTGCATGTATTTTGTGGTGACGTTAAACTCGGGAGGAAGGAAGTTGTAATTCCATTGACAACTATCACTCAGTTTATTTTACTAGTGATCTGAGTATGAAGTGTTGCTGAAATAGAAACCCCTGAATATTAAGTAAGAATAGTTAGTACAGTGCTCCCAAAATCCAAGTCTAGGTGCCCAGAATATTCGGTAAAAATTTGGATCCTGCTGTGGTTTGTTTTTTCACCTGTCATGAAACTATTAGAATATATCTAGAAAGACACATTGTTGTGTTAATTATATGCATCCTGTCCATGCACATTTTCATTCATAGCATGTAGATTTAAATTTGGCACATTAAATCTAAATTTGACTGGAATTCTCTCTGAATTGGAAGTCTTCCACTACAAACTTATTTAGTGAAAATGGCTGTATCTAGAAAATCAGCTCCCAGATGAAAAGTCATGCAACATCCATAAAAATTTTTTTTTAACTTATGAACTATGCATCCATATGTAAGAAACTGAGAGGAACTAATTAGAACTTTGAGCAGCAGGGAGCAGGTGAAACCCACCTGCTTCATAAAGAAAGAGAGGCCCTTTTTCCCCCACTTAGGTTCACTGACTAAACTAAACCTACTTTAAATTTCAGATGAATCACTAACACTTTGACTGTAAATTAGTTTCTAGCAATTCTATGGAGGAATTCTTCCATGTACTGTTCCTCAACAGGGTAAGATGGGAATACAGCCAATGCCATTGTTCTGCCTTCTCTGCTACTACGGTCAAGTAACAACTTAAACTTTCTAGTTACTGCTGTTGCCTTAAACCACTTAGATTTTCAACCAATATGTCTTTGGAAATTCTAGTCTTATTTTGGAGATAGCAGATTAAGGAAACTAGTTGTTAATTTCCCCTCGGTGTTAAACATTTCCTAAGATAGTGTGGTTGTGTTTTAAAAGTGTAAGTACTTCTTGATATTAAACAGTATGTTTGGAAGTTCTAGAAAAACTGTAGAAAAGTTAGAGGAGAATGATTATAGTGTTCCTTGTTTATTTAAACAAAATATTTTAAAATAAGGTGGTTTGTTTTAGTGCATGTAAGTCAGGTTGTATAACTTTTATCTTAGAACTTGCATTTTTATCTCTCTAAGCAAAGGGAAAATCAGTTGCAATTTTCTAATAATTTCAGTTTCCTTCTGGGTTACAGTGGTGGTTTTGGAGATGGCTAATACTGAGTAGAAAGCTTCTTGATCTGAAATGTTGTATTTGATTGTCTTATCCTTTGGGGTTTATCCTTTTGGGAAAGTCATGGCCCACCCACCTCCTCAGAAGTTCTGAGATGTCAGGTTAAGATGTTAAGACCTACCCAGAGTATGACATTCACAGTACCAGACCCCCTTTGTATTGAGTTGGCCAAAAAGTTCGTTTGGGCTTTTTGTCAGATACATAGGGGAAGAACCCGAATGAACTTTTTGACTAACCCAATATGTTGTTGTCACCCTGCTACTGTCTATTTATATACCAAAAATATGTCAGAATGAACAGAGAGAGATGGTAGTCTTGCAATTAATCAAAACTTTTGACTTGGGAGCCACTATGGGCTTTAACTTTTAAGTGCATGAAATAATCAGTAAGCAGCACTTCTCAGTATTTTAAAAGTAAATGTATGCCATGCAATGGAAATTTTTTCATGGCAATCTGAAATGAAAAGTATACTGCCAAGTAACTCTATATAACCTGAAACTGAAAGGAGTCAAGACAGTTATGATTTACTTTCTATAATATTTGTGAGTTAGAAAGAATACAGAGGTAATTATATCTTAATATTTCCATGTAACTTCTTTGGAGGGCTAGTTTAATATAAAATTTGCCTTTAATTAAAAGGAAATGGGCTCAATTTAGAAGAGAAAATTCTAAGTTCCTAATCTTAACATCCAGTTCCTCCTAAGATGATTTAGGAAGTTGCTCCAGGTTAATTTTTAAATGTCTTTGCTAATTTACTTAATAGAAAAACTTCTGAAAACAAATGCTTTAAATTAGAGATTATCCTATTCCTGAGAAGGCATAATATTCATTGAAAAAAATGATCTGGTGATGACAAAGTTTTAATGTACGCTGTCAAACACACCTTTCCTCTGAGATGAATTCCATAATGTTAAGAGTCGAAGTTTTCCTTGGACCTTATTTTAGTTTTCCCAAAGGTAAATAGTGCATGCTTTTTAGCCACCACAGCTGTTTATTATTATTAAGTCATCAAACATCTACATACCATAGGACACACAGCTAGGAGTGTGGAAGTTTTGTGTTCGCCTATAAAGTAATGCCTGCCCTCAGAATGTTTCTAGTTTATGATGTGGTTCACAGTACAGTGGCAGAAGCTAGGAAAACCATGAGGAGAATGACCAGAAGAAAGCAGAAATTTAGCATATGGGACAGATCTTGACCTTTTCACTTGGAAGTACAAAATGTTAAAACAAATTGCCCGTTTTTTCATAATGATTCACTCTATTCAGAATATATATTCTATTTGTCAAATCCCTCTCAGCTTAAAGAGGTTCACCCAAAACTAAATAATAATCCTGAATATTAAATAGTTTTCCCTGCCCTAAAAGAACATGATGAATGTGGTAGAAAGAAAATGTAAGAAAACTTGTTTGACAACTCATGTTCCAAGCATTCAGATCACTAATAATTTTAGGTCTTTGAGCTTGTTGGAATGTCAAACTGCCAGACCTTAAATCTCTCATTTTTCAGCTCACAAATAGAGCTCATTTCTTCCTCTGCTATTGCACTGCCTTCCTCAAAGGGGGTTTTGATGTGTTAATTTCAGGGGAGAAAAGTTTTCTAATGATCACTCTCTTGTATTAGAAGTCAGTGCTTTGTAAAATGTTTTCAGTGAAAGGCAAAAAAAACCAAACACCTATCGGGAAAACCTATGTAGATTTAGATTAGAGATTATCCTATTCCTGAGAAGGCATAATATTCATTGAAAAAAATAGTGTCAACAAAGTTTTAACGGCACTGTCAGGCCCACCTTTGATCTGAGATGAACTGCATAGGCTTAAGAGTGGAAAATTTCCTCTGACTTCCTCTCAATTTTACCAAAGGTAAGCAGCACGCTCGTTTGGGGATACAGCTGTATCCCCAAAGCTGATATACAATTACAGAAATGGCCCAGACACGACACTTCAGGATGGGGATTCACAAAGGGAATTTCCGAAGCATGGCTTAGAGTTGACTAGGCAGTGTGCTCGGTTGGGCCTTGAGTCCCCGGGCCTGCGCGCAGGGCTCTCCAAGTGCGCACCCATGCCCCATCGGCCTCCCTCCAGCCCCAGACTCACGCTGTGCTCTCTCGCGCTCTCTCGAAGGTACCTACCAGGGCCAGTGGGCCGGCGGCATGCGGCACGGCTACGGCGTGCGCCAGAGCGTGCCCTACGGCATGGCCACGGTGATCCGCTCGCCGCTGCGCACGTCGCTGGCCTCGCTGCGCAGCGAGCAGAGCAACGGCAGCGTGCTCCACGACGCCGCGGCCGCCACCGACAGCCCGGCCGGCACCCGCGGCGGCTTCGTGCTCAACTTTCACGCCGACGCCGAGCTCTCGGGCAAGAAGAAGGGCGGCCTCTTCCGCCGGGGCTCCCTCCTGGGAAGCATGAAACTGCGCAAGTCCGAGTCCAAATCGTCCATCTCAAGCAAGCGCAGCTCGGTCCGCAGCGACGCGGCCATGAGCCGGATCAGCTCCAGCGACGCCAACTCCACCATCAGCTTTGGCGACGTCGACTGTGACTTCTGCCCCGTGGAGGACCACGTGGACGCCACCACCACGGAGACCTACATGGGCGAGTGGAAGAACGACAAGCGCAGTGGCTTCGGCATCAGCGAGCGCTCCAACGGCATGAAGTACGAGGGCGAGTGGGCAAACAACAAGAGGCACGGCTACGGCTGCACCGTCTTTCCCGACGGCTCCAAGGAAGAGGGCAAATACAAAAATAATATTCTGGTCCGCGGAATAAGGAAGCAGCTGATACCAATAAGAAATACAAAAACTAGGGAGAAGGTGGACAGAGCGATCGAAGGCGCACAACGGGCAGCCGCCATGGCAAGAACCAAAGTGGAAATAGCGAACTCCAGGTATGTAAACGCCGGAGGGGTGGTACTGCCCGGGTCTTTGGAAATGGTAGGATATCAGATAACCTGTGTGTGTCAGTCCTTTGGCGGCATAGGTTCCAGAACCAGAAGTGGAAAAGGATTCAGCCCGATAGAATGAGGCAGAAATGTACCTGGAACTCTTCTGAAACTCTCCATCCTCAAAAAGTGTTGAAGGCGCATTGCGGTCCCCTTCCTCTTACTTCCTTAATACGAAACGTGATGGAGTTCACTCAGAGCCTGTGTACATTTCCCAGAGTCCAGAAAGTTACCTTTTTTAAAAAAGACAAAAAAGCACCCCTGAAATACTTACAGAGAGAACATAGTACATCGTGTGCTGGAAAGAAGATACCCATCCACATGGAAACCTACCCAGTGTAGGTGAACCTTTTTATTCTAACATTAAAGTTGCAGGTGTGTACAACTCCTCCCTAGAAAATTATCCTCATTTATAACATTCACATTCTGTTTATTGATGCCTTCTAAGTGAAATTGGTTTTGAGCAAGTGATCAAGGTATAAATAAGGCAGAAATGGAGAGTTATATGACAAAATCCGTCAAGCATTCTTTAAACAACAGAACCCACCTGCATGGGAAAGGCAGAGGGACTGGGGCTCAGCAGAATCCCCCCATTCTAGGCAAGAAAGATTAGATCACTGGTATATTAAAAGGAAGCGGGTAGGGAGAGCCTGACACGGACAGACGGGACTGTTAGTATGCCAAGTTTGAAAGAAAGAGCGGTAGAGAAGGGCTGGAGTGAGTAGGAGAAAGCAGTGAATAATAGATTGAGAAGTGGGGTGTATTGTTGGCACAGAAGGTCCATGCGCCTAAAGTTTTACCATTAAGAGCTGGATTCAAGCATTCAACCAGAAGGATGGAGAAATTGGTTGGGAATAGAGAATTTTATTAGGGATGGATGTCATATGTTAGACAAACATGAAAACGGGCTGGTTATACATGGAACACTTTATTCTTAGGCTTATTTCAGCAAATACTTACTGGCCCCAGTTCTGTGTGATTTCAGATATACGTTTAGCACAGAATATTGAAAATCCTTTTCTTTCTTTAGTAGTATTCTCCCACTGAAGTAAACCTCTTTATGAAACCAAAGACTTGTAGCATGTCTTCAAACTTTAATTCTTAACATTAAATTAATAAGCCCTGCCTTTTCTTTGGTGAAATCACATGAAATTCCTGATGTTCAGACTTAATATACAAAAATGGCCCATTTCATATTGTTCAACTTAATATTTCCAAACATCTGAGATTTCTTTTTTAAAAATGCTCCTGTTTTATGGCTACTGTTTACTTTTAAGTGTCGGACACACTGGAAACTGGAGGCCATCTTGTGTTTTGCAATATTTTTAGATATAAAAGTACTCAAGATTTACATCTCTATCCCAAACTGACCCAGTTTTAAAGTTAATATTGCCTGTTAATAGGCACAGACTTTGCGGAAGGGTCTTCTTCTCTGCTGGGCATCATTTATTTTAGATCATGGTTTTCTGTGATCACCAAGCATTGTATTGACTTGTTTTTCACGTTGCTTGTAGATAGAGTACTTGGCACATGTAACCTTGCTAGCCTTCGTGGCCCTCAGCTAACTTTTAGAGCTAGAGAGATACTCTTTGTTAGTTCTTAGCCTCTAATTTGAAATGCACTCTTGGCTTCTTCCCTTTTATTGTCACCTAGTGATATACAAGAGGTAATTCAATCTTGGCAGGTGAAAAATGAACCTATGCGGGACATTCTAGCAAATGACTTTCTTATGCTTGCTTTAATTATTGACTTATGATTAGTTTAAATTGGAGGAACCTACATAATGAAAGGTTGTGATGCAAAGATCGCTGATTATAACAGTTTCATAAAATTCTTATCCAAGTCGTAGCTAGCCACAGTCTCTCTGTCGAAAGTCTTTGGGGGAGGAGGGTGTTGCATAGTCTGAAAGTATTGTGTTATGATAGTTTATAATCAACGAACATCTTAAGAGCTTGTACTAACTAGCTTAAGACCTTGTACTAACTAGCTAGTTAACTACTTTTAAGATTTCACTTGGCTTTTTAAAAAATTCTCAGTTCATTTTGCTAAGTGACATAAGTCCATCACAGAACAAATATATTGCATAATTCTACTTATAGGAAGGATCTGTAATGGTCCAACACGTAGAAGCAGTGAAATGGTGGTTGTCAGGGGCTGAGGGAGCATTTGCAAGGTGCTCTTCCAAGGTATAAAGTTTCACGTTAAGCAAAAATAAGTCCTAGAGCTTTCTACCACATTGTGCCTGGAGATAATACTGTGAAAAATAAGTGAAAGTGTTAGTCACTAAGTTGTGCCCAACTCTTTGTGACCCCATGGACTGTAGCCCACCAGGCTCCTCTGTCCATGGACTTCTCCAGGCAAGAATACTGGAGCAGGTAACCATTCCCTTCTCCAGCGGATTTTCCCAACCCAGGGATTGAATCTGGGTCTCCTGCATTGCAGGGAGATTCTTTACAGTCTAAATATTGGGCACTTAATGTTTAATAGGGTAGATTTCATGTTAAGTATTCTTACTGCAATAAAAAAAAAAACCTACTCTTTCAATGACACAGTAGGGAAAAAAAAAAAATGTTTACTACCCTGTTAACCTTTTATATTTTACTTTCACTGTTTTAGCCTCTTTCCAGATTCTGCTTTAATGACTTCTCCAGATACAGAGACTTGCAACTTGCTCAGTCCTTCCTGGCCCCTCTAGCAGTTGTTATTTACTTAATGTGTTTTTGTCTTTAAAATATAATCAAAGGTTTAAGAACATAAAGACACTCTTCCCCTTTCCCTGCCCCTTTTTCTGCCCCAATGATGGCAGAATAAGAACTAGAAAGGAAGACTCCTGGCAGCAGCCACTGTCGAAATCACTAGTTCACCATTAGCAGCAAAGGGAGATGATGGGTTAATAGTTACTGACCACTTGAGTTTGCCTGACTGGTAGTGTTAATTATTGTTGTATTGCTGTTATGTCTTATGCTATAGAGATTGTTGCTTGTTTCTGAAATCCCAAGGAAATGGGTCCACCTTTGTACCATCACCTTATTTTAGCTTGTAGCAAAGCCTTGGAGGGAAAACAATCGTACTCGCCAATAATGGCAGCTCAGGAAAATCAGGAGACATGGTACCAGCCAACTTCAGCCCAAAGATTCAGGAAAGCATGGTAAATCTCTGGATCTTTACTTCTTAGAAGAGGCAGTGGTGCATCGTCCTAGGAAACACAAGAAGCTTATTTCTGAAGTCTTATTATGGACCCCTGTTTATTCCTTCTAGATCAGGGAATATGAGGATCGCCTAAGGGGTAGTAGATGATAGAAATGATGCAACAGTCTATAGATGCTGAGTTTCCTTGCAGGTTAGCATTTAGAGTTAGAGCTTTAAGGGATGCTAATAATTCGTTGGCTCCTGTAACTTTTCTGTTCTAATTCCAAAAGTACCATGTTTATAAGATTTAACAGAATGTTTTGCTCCCCCCTTGTCTTGGTCTTGAGGGTAAAAATCATCACATGGAATTAAGATAGTGTCTCAACCTTGATTTTAAAGAAGCGTTCGGGAGGAAGGGGAGCAGCCCTTTACATCTCAAGCTCCTCATTTCTGGAGACAGAGGCTGAGGCACTGCTTGGGATCACCTCACTCTCCCTGTCATATCATTTACTTTTCTCATTTGGTCATTTTTTTGCTCCACTAACTCTTGACTTCAATAGTTCCCTAAGAGAGATGTTCAAATGACTGTCAAATGAAAAATATTTTAAGGAAGAATTTTAACCTGAGGCATCTGGTTGAGAGACAGCAAATAAGTGACCCTTGGAGAGCCACACTTCTGTGGAAACGAACAGATAATTTAGGAAGGGGTATAGACAATGGCAGCCCACTCCAGTACCCTTGCCTGGAAAACCCCATGGACGGAGGAGCCTGGTGGGCTGCAGTCCATGGGGTCGCGCAGAGTCAGACACGACTGAGCGACTTCACTTTCACTTTTCACTTTCATGCATTGGAGAAGGAAACTTCAACCCACCCCAGTGTTCTTGCCTGGAGAATCCCAGGGACGGGGGAGCCTGGTGGGCTGCCGTCTCTGGGGTCACACAGAGTCGGACACGACTGAAGCGACTCAGCAGCAGCATAGACCAAAAAGCAACTTTGTAGCATCTGGGACTTAGAGATAAGTTGTAGTCATCTTTTAGTCACTAAGTTTTGTTGGCTCTTGTGACCCCGTGGACTGTAGCCTGTCAGGCTCCTCTGTCCATGGGATTTCCCAGGCAGGAATACTGGAGTGAGTTGCCATTTCATTCTCTGGGGGATTTACTGACCAGGGATCAAACCTGTGTCTCCTGCATTGGCAGGTGGATTCTTTACCCCTGACCCATCAGGGAAGCCCCTTAAAGTAGTTATTTGCTATAAGGGTGGAAGAGGCGTGATGAAAAGGCCTAAAGCAATTGAGAAAATAGGTGTTTGTTTATGTAGTCTGATTGTGTCAGATCAGAAGAAAGAAAACTAAGGGAGGATGGAGCTGAGTGGGAGAGTGTCCCTAACCCACTGACTCTGTGGCCAGTCTCACTGCAGCTAGTTGGGCGGTGGGGTGGGAGGCCCCCAGGACAGCTCTGAAGTGTCACTGATGGGACAGTCCAGTTAGTAGGGTGGGACCATCTGCTCTCAACCTCTCCCCAACCATCAGTGCCACTTCCGGTGGTAATGGCAGCACCTTGACCATGTGCTGTCCCCTGCCCAGTCCTGCTGTGCTTGTCACAAGAGTCACCCTGGGGGGGCGTGGAAGCAGCCAGATAGCACACGGACGAGCCGACCTCAGAATCAAGGGGTCTGGTGAGCTTGCTGTGTCCATATGCAGAACCAGAGATCAGAGTCCCTACTTGGCAGTTTCGAACTTACGTATTAAAATGACATAATATTTTTGTTTTAATCCTACAGGAAAAATCAATTTCCTCTACTTCTTTTAGAAAAAAGCT